TCAAATTCAGTCGCTCTCCAATCATCCCTTAAATAGCAGTCGTGCTACATTAGTGGAGACGTGGAGTGTCTGATTTTATATGAGCATTGTAGTCACCAAATCTGCACGGCCACTCCGTTTTTTGTTCTTGCAATCTGTACTCAATCTGCTGAACGACAATTTAGTTGTCGTGCTACATTAGTGGAGACGTGGAGTATCTGATTTTATATGAGCATTGTAGTCACCAAATCTGCACGGCCACTCCGTTTTTTGTTCTTGCAATCTGTACTCAATCTGCTGAACGACAATTTAGTTGCTTTTACTATTCGGGGTCTGGAAGGGTGTCTGCAACCTGCTTCCTCTACTGTCGCAAAGCCCGGGAGGTTTTTGTAGCGTCAAAAGCAGACTCTTGCGGGCTCTGAAGGGTTAGCGATTTTTGTTAGCAACTGGAGTTGCGGCCCATAGGCTACCTGCACGCAGGCTTGCTTGCATCCCTAAGGATTAGGATATTTCGATTTAATTCCCCTTGGATGATTTTCTTGCAAAAGCTAAGATAGGATTGCTTGCTTGCCTTGCACTCGACGTTGTTTTCGGTTCTTCAGTACCATGGTGTGTTTTTGCTTGCTTACTTGCCTTTTGTAGTGGGTTAATATGATCTTTGTCTATAAGACAGTAGGATTGCAGAGAGAATAGGAGCTGATCTAGTTGGTCACCACTCAGTTTGTTATGGATAAGTCAAATTATGACCAAAATAGTCTATAATTTTAGTCTCCGATGCTTAAGAGGAATTATTCCCGGAATAATTTGTACTCTTACTTTAGCTTCAGTTTCAGCACCATGTGCCAACCAAAGAACATTTTCTTGCTTGTTTGTTTTGAGATCTTGAAGATCTAAATAATATCACAACACAATGGAACAAGCTCCTAATTTTAATGATATTCCATATAGACTAAAATATGATAGTGTGTCTTATCAATTTTGGATCAGAAATTATATCCTCCAGCAAAAAAATTAATGTTAACCCCTATAGCAAATATAGCATACAATAGAGCATCTCATTTGCCTGACGGCACGGATCAAATACGTTGTTGTCTGTCAATATAAAACATGACATCATACCTTTTGTGATATTCTCTATATATATTAAAATATGGCGGCATGTATTATTAATTTTTTGTTAGAAATTATAGCACTCAGCAGACAAAATCATTGTTAACCCACATAGCATGTTTTGAACCTAGCAGTACAAAGCTTATAATATGATAGTTCAAAATTTTGAAACTAGCAATATAAAGTTTGTAATGTCGTAGTTCAAAGTTTATAAATTTTGAGCGCAAAGTTTTGAGCCTAGCAGTACAAAGTTTATAGTGTGATAGTTCATAGTTTTGAACCTAGCAGTACAAAATTTATATTGTGATAGTTCAAAGTTTTTGAACCTAGTAGTACAAAGTTTGTCATGTAATAGTTTAGTTTTTATAAATTCTGAGTGTAAAGTTTCTAACCTAGCAGTACAAAGTTTATAACGTGATAGTTCGAAGTTTTGAACCTAGCAGTAATGTCATAGCTCAAAGTGTATTAATTCTGAGTGTAAAGTTTTTAACCTAGCAGTACAAAGTTTATAATGTGATAGTTCAAAGTTTTTACAAAGTTTGTAATGTGATAGTTCAAAGATTATAAATTCTGAGTGTAAAGTTTTCTACCTAGAAGTACAAAGTTTTAGTGTCATAGTTCAAAGTTTATAAATTCTGAGTGCAAAGTCTTCTACCTTGCAGTACAAAGTTTGTAGTGTCATAGTTCAAATTTTATAAATTCTGAGTGTAAAGTTTTAAACCTGGCAGTACAAAGTTTATAATATGATAGTTCAAAGTTTTCAAACTAGCATTACAAATTTTGTATTTCGATAGTTCAAAGTTTATAAATTCGGAGTGCAAAGTTTTCTACCTGGCAGTACAAAGTTTGTTGCGTCATAGTTCAAATTTTATAAATTTTGAGTGTAAAGTTTTAAACCTAGCAGTACAAAGTTTATAATGTGATAGTTCAAAGTTTTCAAACTAGCATTACAAATTTTGTATTTCAATAGTTCAAAGTTTATAAATTCGGAGTGCAAAGTTTTGAAGCTAGCAGTACAAAGCTTGTAGTGTCATAGTTTTTAAAGATTATAAATTCTGGGTGTAAAGTTTTGAAGCTAGCAGTACAAAGTTTATATTGTGATAGATCAAAACATTAAATCTAGCAGTACAAAGTTTATATTGTCGTAGATCAAAAGTTTATAAATTCTTAGTTTAAAGTTCTCAACCTAGCATTATAAAGTTTTTATTGTGATAGTTCAAAGTTTTGAACCTATAGCAGTACAAAGTTTGTAGTGTCATAGTTGAAAGTTTATGAATTCTGAGTGTAAAGTTTTAAACCTAGCAGCACAAAGATTAAAATGTCATAGCTTAGAGTTTTGTACCTAGAAGTATAAAGTTTGTAATGACAAAGTTTGAAGTTTTATAGTTTCTGAGTGTAAAGTTTTGAATCTAGCAGTGCAAAGTTTATAATTGTTACTTTGAAGTTTTGAACCTAGTATGAAGTTTATAACTTCATGCATTTTTTTAATCTTTTACCTTGTCTTTTTTTCAGGGTATTAGTGACAACTATTTTGGTACTGAAGAACAGAAGTCACGTGTGCTTTTATATTAGCTCTTTGCATCTCGACAAATTAGATGTACTCATTTTCCTAGTTTTTCAAAACTTCATAACCATTTTTTATTTTTTCTGTATCGGTTGAATTATTAATTCCGTATAAAGTATTATGGAACATAAGATATATGAATTTTGAAAATAGTACTTCTATATCTATTTGGATGTCAAACCATCTCCCACCCTTTTCATCTCCCACGAAACCGCTATCCTGAAAGAGAAAAAAAATAGCTTGTAGAATCCAAATTGGCCCATTGACCTAGAATCTAGACAGGAGAAAACTCTGACTCCAGAAGCTAAATGAGTCTTCGGCCTTGTTTAGGTACCCCAAAATCTAAACTTTTGCACTATGCAAAAAAAAAAAGATTTTTCATCATATTAAATTTGTATGGAGTACTAAATGTTGACGAAATCAAAAACTAATTGCACAGTTTGGTTGTACTTTGCGAGACGAACATTTTAAGCCTAATTAGTCAACGATTGGACAATTATTACCAAATATAAATGAAATGCTACAAGTAATTCCGGGCTGGAAGGTCATGGGAAGACTCGAGCGTAGCAAGGTCGTTTCTTTTTGTTGCTGATGTGCAGTTTTGTCTTGGTACAAAAAGAAGAATTCGATGGGACACTTAGTCTTAAGTGCTGAGTGCACTAGAAATCTCATACCTTATGTTCCTAGATGATAGCCTTCTATTTTTTTTAAGAGTCATACTCCTTCCGTCTAAAAAAATGTAATTATAGAAAACGCACCGATGAAACTAGCTCAATTTTAACCAATTTTATAGTAAATAGTATTAGTATTTATATTTATAAATAAATTTATTATGAAAATATATTCTATAACTAAATTTAATGTACTTATTTTGTCCTTTTTTTATATAATTTCAAATAAAGTACGTGAGTGCTACGGAGGGAGTATCTCCTGGCTTAGAACCTGTGGTTGTGTGCTAGTGCAGTACTCGCGCTCAGACCAACAATTCCATTGAAAGGTAGTTTCCCTAGTGGCACGGTCCGTCCAGACACACACCCGCGCGTAGACGGCAGCACGTCCAAGCAAACAACAAATGGATCTCGTCCGTTTGTTTATTTTCGCGCCAAGAAGAGAAGATAGCGCAACGCCAACGGCCCGGCGCCCAGTAGAGTAGTCCTGCACTGTAGAGAAGCGGAGCCAGCCGAAGGAAACCTGCAGGAAGTTTCGTTTCGGCGAGTCAAAGCCAAGACAAGCTACTACTCCCCCTCCGGGCTCCGGCCCTCCTCCTACACACGGACATCCACGTCTGTCTCTCTCTCACACACACACACACACTCCCTCTTCACATTCACACGTTTGCCTCGCCCACGAAAAGACAACCAACCCGGGTCCGGGGGGCAAGCGGGGGGAGAGACAGAGAGCAGGGAAGGAGGGGAGAGGAAAGGGAAAAGCGGGTCGCGAGTGCCGCCAACTTTTGCCCCCCCGGCGCCGCCTCGCGCGAGATCCGCTCCGCGTGCCCCGCCGCCGCGCCGCTGCCGAGGTGAGCTCCGCCCGCCCTCCCTCCCCCGCTGATCCGCGCCGCCCGATTTGGCACTCGGTTTCCGGCCCGGGATTCCCCCCCGCCTGCTGTCCGCGTCTGCGGTTTGGGTCGGGGCCGCGCTCGGAGCTGTGGGGGGCGTGTTGCCGCGGTGGGTCTCCGGTGGCGGCGAATTGCAGCTCCGCGCTGCGTGGCTCTGGTTCTGGTCTCACTTCTCAGGGAGTCGCCTGGGCGGGTTGGTTTTGGTCAGCCGATGGGTTTTGCGGCTGCTTTTAGGCAGTGATTTTTTTAGGGTGTCGCGCCACGGGCCGCGGCAATGCGATTCCCGGACCGAACTCCGCGGCTCCGGGTGTGGAATTGGAGTTGTTGGACTATTTTTTTTTTTGTGGGGGTTTCATGTTTGGAGCTGAGATCTTAATCTCTTTCTTCCTGGTTTGGAACCGGTGCTTTTGCTACTCCTTTTGACGGATAATTCGAGTTTGGAGTCGTCGAATTCTGAAACCTGGAGTAGGTTTTTACATGTGCCGTGGGCAAACGGGGCTTGAATTATTAAAGCCAGAACTGTTCCGCTGACATTTTCAGTTCCATCTAGTCGTGCCGTGGATGTCACAACTTGGTCTAACGACTCTGATCGCGGATTATTTTATTTGTTTCAGATAGAGGGTGTCGTCCCCAGCATCGGGTTCCACGGAGAGTTGTTGATTTGGATACCTGATCCAATTGGGGTTGGATTGAGTCACTTGGACCTTTTCAACAGCTGTCCCGTTCCAGCTGCTTTGGTCACAATAAGAGGCTTGCCTGGTTCCAGAGATGATGCCATTGTGAGTGGAGATGGATTCTGCGAGAAGTTGGTTCCAGAAGTTCCAGCCGAGGGACAAATCCAAGAGTCCAGCGGTGGCTGCCAGCCATGGAAAGGATCCAGGAAAGCCCCCGATCGATGATGCCCCTTCTAGTGCAACGAAACAGAGGGTCGCCGCTGCAAAGCAGTACATTGAGAACCACTACAAGACCCAGATGAAGTCCCTGCAAGATAGGAAAGAGAGGTAGGCAGTCCAGTGAATATAAACCTTTTTTTTTTTACCTTTGCCTGCTTTGGTTATAGATTTATTAGCACCCATCGTGTTTTACATGCAACTAGCAAAATTCTAAATTACGGCTCAAGTGTAGAATGGAAAGAAATGAAGGTCCCCATCTTGCTGTTATCGAGCAGGATGCCCAACCACACACATGACATGCCATGTTTGGACTGGAATGGCAAACACAGGTGCAGCCACGCAGATGATTAAGATCAAGTCCTTACAAGTGTGTTGGGACCATGGTTGTGCCCAGAATAGAAAGCCCAGTTACAGCGTTGACTCAAGTTAGGTAGCTTCAGTACCATATTAAGCTGTAGCCCCTCTGTTCCAAATTATAAGACGTTTTGGCTTTTCTAGATACATTGCTTTTGATATGCACTTAGATATACTCTATGTTTAGACATATAGTAAAATAAATGTATCTAGAAAGGGCAAAGCGTCATATAATGCTTAGATATTCGCTAGGTTTAGGTACATAGTAAAAGAGATGTATCTAGAAAAGCCAAAATGTCTTATAATTTAGAACGGAGGGAGTAGTTTTTTTTTTTTTGCGAATTGTATTAAGTTGTAGCTCTGTAGTGAATAGTGATTGATACACAATGATCTAGCAAAGCTATGAACTCAACGCCGAATATGATTTATGAACTTTTTTTTAGTATCAACTCATTGAACTCAAACAATTACTCAATTAAACTTACATACTCATTCTAAATGATGTTTGCCGTTTCAAAACTTAAACAATTCAAACTTATACTTGCAATCATTATCAAATGTCAAGACTTATTTTTCTCGTCAGCCAATCTACTTGCTGGATTCCATCTATTTGATGACAATTGACTTGCAGGAAATTGTGATCTTACTTTTATAATATCTTGGCTTACTTTTAGGCGCTGGATGTTGGAGAGAAAATTAAAAGATGCCGAAGTTCCTGTAGAAGAGCAAAATAATATTCTTAAGCATTTGGAGAAAAAAGAGACTGAATATATGCGCTTGCAGAGACACAAGATAGGAGTTGAAGATTTTGAACTTTTGACTATTATTGGGAGAGGTGCATTTGGAGAGGTACAGTTCATTTCAGTTTCCATTCTTTAACAGTTTGTGCAAACCAGTTCAATGATATACATGGCATTATTTCTGTTTCTTTTGAATTCTATCCCATCAGCGATTGTTCTGCGCATACGTTTTCTTTTTAAAGAGAAGCCTCTGCTTATATAGAAAAAAAGTTCTACACATGCACCACATGTTGACTTGACAATATTATTCGTACAATCCTTTTCATGAAATAAATGTGGATATCTCATATAGTTGGAAGTTGGAACTTGGTGTGCCTTGCTGCTCCATCTTGTATTTTAGTACAACTCTAAATATGCAACTCTTCTGCTTGTAAGAAAACTGGGATAAAGTTAACCTTTTGGTCATTGTTCTGCTGACATTTATCTGGCACTTTAGAGTTCTTTGGTATTTGCTTTGGACCTTTATAGGCCATATATTTACTCTCCCAAATTGATGGCATTCAATTATCATGTGGTCCCTTGATGCATGCTTGTGATGAGTTTCCATTCGTTACGTTCACATATGCAAATATTATGGGTGTTTTTTCCACCACCGTTTTCACATGCCTTCTCCATTATTAAGGTAACTTTGATGGATTGGACCATTTTACCATGGCTTGCAGGCAGTTAACTACTCCCTCCATCCCAAATTATAAGTCATTCCAACTTTCTTGGAGAGTCAAAGCATCTCAAGTTTGACCAAACTTATATAATAAAATAATAAAATTTATGATATCAAATAAGTATAATTAGTTTTTTCATTAATTATATTTTTGTAGTATACCTATTTGATGTCATAAAGTCTTTGTAATTCTTTATAATTTTGGTCAAATTTAAGATTGCTTTGATTCTCCAAGAAAGTTAGAATGACTTATAATTTGGAATGGAGGGAGTTTATGAAAAAAGGCCTGGCCCTTGATTTTCGTAATATACCTATGAAAAAGAAGTTGTTTGTCCTAAATATCCAATCTGGGCTTTGAGTTAATTTGTAGTATCTTTGTTATCTGCTTATTGCTATTTTTTGTATTTATATTTAGTTAATATTGGGATGAACACTGTTTTGCTACAAGGTTTTTTACCTTTCTTTCTTTTCAAGAGGAGAATTAGAGAAAAAATCATCCTTCTTGGTGCAGTTGACTCATGTAGTTTTAAATAGCTCTTATTAACAACTGGTTTAACTGATTCTTCTGTTATCTTCTGTTTCAGTTGAGTCTGAATCTTTTGCTTTCTTTATGTGTTGTGCCATTCTTTTCGCTATGTCACTTATGCCACTCTAACTGTGCAGGTGCGTCTTTGTAGAGAGAAGACCTCTAAGAATGTGTACGCAATGAAAAAGCTCAAGAAATCTGAAATGCTTCGTAGGGGCCAGGTACCATGTACGGTCTTTCTGAGTTGTTTTGCATTCTCTATTTCTGTTTTGCATGTTATCCTCTGACACGTGTACATATATTCTATTCCAGGTAGAACATGTCAAAGCCGAAAGGAACCTTCTTGCTGAAGTTGATAGTGCTTACATAGTTAAGCTCTATTATTCTTTCCAAGACGAAGAGTTCTTATATCTCATCATGGAATACCTTCCTGGTGGGGATATGATGACTTTACTTATGCGCAAGGACACACTAACAGAAGATGAAGCTAGATTTTATATTGCAGAAACTGTGCTTGCCATTGAGTCTATTCACAAGCACAACTATATTCATCGGTACCATACTAGTGTCTCTGTGTTTTCTTTTTTTTTAAAAGCCAGATGATCCTATAATTTAAATGATGTATCTCTATGTTCCTTTTGTCAGGGATATCAAACCAGATAATCTTTTGTTAGATCGCATTGGTCACCTGAAGCTTTCTGACTTCGGTTTGTGTAAACCTTTGGACAGCAGTAATTTTCCAAATTTGAATGAACCAGATTATACGTCTGGAAAAGTTACCAAACCTTTGCCTGATACCACTCGGTTAAGCGACCCTTCTGCACCGAGGCGTACACAGCAGGAGCAATTGTCACACTGGCAAAAGAACCGCCGGATGTTGGTAAGTAGTGTATTCAAAGATGGATTAACTTATCGATGGCTTGGGAACAGCATCACCTATGTTATGGTGGCTTTTGTTTGAATGTCTTAACTCACTTTTCTCCGTCTGGATTATATCCATTTTTTGCCTCCTATAACCTTTTTGGCATAATAAAACCATACAAAAGTTATATTGCTCCTTCAAATTTTGTAAGTTTTGAACCATGTTTCCATAGATGATGTTCGTAGTTGGTCTCATGTCTCTCTGAACCAATCATATTGAACTTCTAAAGGACAGAAAATGGTTCCCAGTTCTAAGGATGTAGTATTGTTTTGTTGACATCAACCAGTCTTTACCATGTTGAACCAAGTCGTATGGAATACTCTGGAGTCAATGGCTAATGAGTGGGTTACTATAATTTGATGAATGGAGCTGGATCAAACTAACAAAAACAGTTACAACGTCACTATCCCCATTACAAAGGAATCCAAATAGTAATATTTTCTAGGGTTTAATTTTCTAGTGGATTATGTGAATCATAAGGTTCCTTCCTATGTCTAGCAAGATCTCCCCCCTTTTCCATAAGGTTCCTGCTTGCCATGCTGAGTGTACACTCGAGCGCAGTTGACATGTTTAATTGCAATCCTGGGGCACAGGCATACTCAACAGTCGGTACACCTGATTATATTGCTCCAGAAGTTCTACTGAAGAAAGGATATGGAATGGAGTGTGACTGGTTAGGTTTTTTATCTTGTAAATTTGTATCTTTAACTATTAGACTTGGTGATTCTATCACCCTCTGTGCTTTCTGTATCTTGATGGATGCTTGATATCACTTCTTTTTCTTCTTTAGGTGGTCCCTTGGTGCTATCATGTATGAAATGCTTGTTGGTTACCCTCCATTTTATTCAGAGGATCCAATGTCTACTTGCAGAAAGGTACATGTGAATATGTGATATCCACAGGATATATATGTGTGTGCCATAGTATTCTATATTCAGTGTCATCCTATGCAAACTTCATGAACATCATTGTGTCAAATCCATAACACTGAAGAGAGCAGATTACACTGTGCACTACATTAGGATGACCATGACTTGCCTGTAACCACAACTATTTAGGCCCTGTTTGGATCCACTAGTAGCTAATAGTTCCCTGGCTAATTGTTTGCAGCTAATATTTAGCGGGGTGCTGTTTGGATCCACCAGCTAAAAGGTGGATGCATTGGTGTTTTTTTTGTCTATCCTTTGTTTTCTATTGGGAGGCACATGGATAGAGGTAGGTGGGAGGGCAAAAGTGCCTTTTTGCATCTATTAGCTGCGTTGGGATAGCTACTGAGATAGTCGTTAGCTGTGTGACCAGATAAACAATTAGCTGGGTTCCTTTGGATCAACCCCAACTAATTTTTAACAGCTAACTATTAGCTGGGAGTTGGTGGTTGCAGCTGGTCGAATGAGCTCTACTGCACTATACGCCTATTTAATAAACGTGGGCTTTATATTCTAGCTGCCTTGCTTACCTTTAGTAAGCAAAATACTTCTATAGCTTTATGAGCATACATCTCAACTTATGTTTTTCTTTGTTCATGCAGATTGTGAACTGGAGAAGTCACTTGAAATTCCCTGAAGAGGCAAAGCTTTCTCCTGAAGCTAAGGATCTCATCAGCAAGCTTTTGTGTAATGTTGAGCAGAGACTTGGCACAAAAGGAGCCCATGAAATAAAAGTTTGTTCTTATCCACATGTTTGATGCATACACTTCCATTACTCTCATACCCAAAGTACCCAACTAATTTAATTGTACTTACAAGTTTAGGCGCATCCATGGTTTAGAGGTGTTCAGTGGGAGAAGTTGTATCAGATGAAAGCTGCTTTCATACCAGAAGTTAATGACGAGTTGGATACTCAGAATTTTGAGAAATTTGAGGAGGTAAAAATCTACTTTCCCCTGTTGGTTTACTTCTGCAAATTGTCTGCATCAATAATATTTGCCTACAGTATAAGATTGGGTGGTGGTTATGCCACATGGCAGTTGCTGGTTAATATTGAATGAACTTCTGGTAGTGCCTGTGATCCTGTTTTCCTGCTTGTTATCATACCAATTAGTGTTCATTCTGGTTGTCAAACAATACCTGTGGGCAGGCTTAGCATATGGTAAAATCAAACACAAGGGTTCCCTTGAGTGTTTATTCTAGAGGTGAACAATCACCATCTGACATTCCTTCTGCTTGGAAGTATGCAATTGTACTCCTAAATAGGTGGTCTGTGTTGGTTCCCTGTGCACTGTAGGCTAAATTTCTCTGGGTTAGTGCTACCTGGTAGTACAATTAAATGAAATCTGCGATCTAATCACAAATTCTATCTGCTACCTAACAAAAACTGGGGTTCAGATAAATCTGGTGTTGTTTCCTCTTTCATATCAGTTAGGCTTGTGATATTCTTAATTTCAGGATTATTCAATTGTAACGCTCTATTCTTTTGTTGTTTATATGATAGTGTTTGTTGTTGACCTGGTGAAACTTGAACTGTGAATGCATTAGCTAATAGCTATTGCTCACACATTTAATTATTTTTCCACTACTTTGCAGACTGGAACTCAAATTCAAAGTTCATCCAAGTCAGGCCCATGGAGAAAGGTATGCATAAGTTCTCCACTAAAGGTTTCTGGGTAGTTGAAGTATGGGACACAGTAATGTACCAGTTACAGACAGTTCCATATCTGCTGTTCAAGTGAAATATTTTGCATTGGTTTTCTCCCCATTGGGCACTAAAAAACATTCTTATCCCTCTAGCATGCATTGGTTAACCATAAAATATATATCTAAAAAATGTGTTTCAAACATTGCTATTGATCTGGAGGGCATATATATTTTCTCTTGAACAAGGGCACATATATTTAGAAATTGAGTGGGAATTTTACTCATATTGGACATTTGAGCTTCATTTTATTACTGCCCTTTGTCAATGAATTGAAAGACACTTCTTTTACAGATGCTTCCATCCAAAGATGCAAACTTTGTTGGGTATACGTACAAGAACTTTGAAATTGTAAATGATGATGAAGTGGCAGGAATTGGTTAGCTCCCCCATTACTATGTTCATCCTCTGTACTATTTCACTTATTTAATTGTTATACATTTAGTTTGACAAAAATGGTTTGGTGCTTTGTGCAACAGCGGAGTTGAAGAAAAAGAGTTCCAAACCAAAGCGGCCAACCATCAAGACATTGTTTGGTAATGAGCCAGCCTATGTTCATTTCGCCTCTCCACTATCTTTATCTCTGTGAAGGCGGGAACGACCAACTTACCTTGCATTCATCTCTGAACAGAGAGCATGGACGAAGAGGAGCCTGTTCAAGGAAGTTTTTTAGGTATGTTGCCCCCGAAGGAGGGGCAACCTTCGTCCCACTCCAGCATTCCACCAGAAAAATACCAACCTCGACGTAAATAGGATATGGAGGTTCCAAAAGTAAAGCATAGGAAAGTAAAACAAGAAAAAAATCTCTTCTGCTGCCTTTTGATCTGCTCCCTGTCTAAGTTTTGTAAATCCTAACCAACGTGTTCTTTAGTCAAATGCTTAAAAAAACTCTCCGGCCAAATAGTGTATGGCATTTGATGTGAGCATCAGTGTTCGCTGTATATTGTGTTACCGTTCTAACTTTGGATTGATGTTTCTCAGCCATATTGGTGAAACCTAGTGTATACTAGATAAGGGACCAGGAGAAAACAAGCTGTGCTGCTGTGGCGAACCTGTGTTATGTGTATTGACCTCATAGTTGTTTCTTCAAGGTCAAGATTCGTAGGAGCCTGATCAACTTGCAGCTGTATTGCTCCAAAAAAAACCCCGCAGTTGGAGCATATGAACTGGAACACACGTGTGTCTGACACAGCGCCCATGTCAAACGAGTAATTGACACATTTATCCTTTGAACATATTCTCGCAAGGTTGCGTTAGGTCGAGAGACATTCTAAACTGGAATGGTCCCGTCTTAGATTACGGAGACGGGACAATTGTGTTTGATGTTTAGTTGAGTGAGGACAGAACTGTCCTATTTTTTATTTGGTTTAGAGACAATGGGGCCGTTCACTGGTCTGGTTCACACCAGTCACCTAGCTTCTTCCCTCTCAAGTTACTGTTCACCAAACTAGCCGAACAGTGTTTTTCTCTTACAACAAACCAGCCGGAACAGTGTTTTCAACCAAGTTTCGAACAGCGAACGGGACCAATAAAAGTGGGATTAACCACTTGTCTTATTTCTTTTTCCCCTTACTTCTTTCTCGCCATCTTCATTTCCCATGCATGCCAGAAAATGAAAGCCTAAAGGCCCATTTGGAACGTAGGAATTTTACGGGAATTGTGCAAGAATTTCACAGGAATTAGTTCATTTTCACATAAAAACGCAGGAACAGGGAAAACTTCTCGTGTTCCAAACAGGGCCTTAGGGCGACGTGCGGCGGGCTCGCTGGGGCTAGGGGCGGAGCCCGCCGAAAGGATCAAGATGCTCAAGAGGATGATGAATTGGGCTAATTCTAAAATTCTTTGCAATAATTAAACCCTACACTTAGCCCACTTCATCCCTTGTGCCTAGAATGCGAATCTATTGATCTATCGCTCAAAAGTTTAGCACCCTAAGTTCCAATCCTATTCTAGCATGGCAATTCTAAGAGTGTAAAGACAAGAATTAAATTGCTCAAATGTAAATGTGTCGGGTTCATAAACCCGGGGTCCCTCGGGGACCGACTTCTCAATGAAGGCTCGGCCCAAGCAGACAACACACAACTCATGGGTGGCCCAAGTATCGGGACAACAGGCCAGAAGGGCGATCCAATCACCGACCGGAAGGTCTGGCCGAGGAGGAGCGACGCCCGTTTTCCGACTCCGGCCCACCTCTCCGACCGGAGGGCTCACGTCGATCTCTAGCCCACCTCCGGATAGCCTCTCCGACCGAAAGGCCTGGCCGAAACACTACTTCCGACTCCAACCCCACGTCACCCTGCTCACTGCTCTTCTCCGACTAGCACAATCAGAGCCGACTGGGACCAACCGACCGGAGACGCCCGCTCAGAAAGGACCAGGGAACGAACGGAGAAAGCAAGGCAAGGCGCACAAGTCAAACCACGATACCAGGGACCATACCATGTACACCTGCAGAAACAGTACTCTACCTCCTCCATGACACAAATAGTATTGTAGGCGCCGATATTTTCCCTACAGTATTGTGGGCGCCATTAACTCCCATACGGTAAGGCCCCCACATGCCTCTGGGCATCGACAGTGTTGTGGGCGCCGGCATTTACCGTACCGAGTGAACATGGCGAAACCCCTCACATGCCTCTGGGCATCAATAGTATAGCAGGTACCGACATCTGCCATACCCGAACAAGACAACGTAACCTCCCACGTGCATCCGACGTCCAACAGTGTTGTGGCCGCCTACCATCATCCTGTACCCGTCGGCATGGGCAGCAAGGTTTAGAAGCATACGTACTCTCTCCCTCTCACTTGTAAGGCCATCCCCTTCATCTATAAAAGGGGATGCGCTCTCTCTCAAGAGACTAAGTTAAGCCAGGTCGATTCAAGTGCTTCCAGATTCATTAGATCGATCAAGTTCGCTAGCTCACAACCACAGAACCGCTAGGTTTGGACCTCAAGCACACGCTTGAACACTTAGCCTATAGCCGAGCTCCTGTCGCTCTCGGCCCTTTCGACCGGAGCCAACCGGACCTCTTGTACCCCCATCTTTCTCCTTCTCGTTTGTAACCCCACTGCAAACTTCGAGCACCTGGGCTCAGGAATAAAGTCACCGACCGACTCAAATTGGACGTAGGGCACGTTGTCTGAACCAGTATAAACCTTGTGTCATTGAGTGCTAGGCCAAACTACGGGGTGCCCAAACGCTCCGGTCAAGGTGACCAGACGCTCCGATCAGTTCTCCCACCACTGAGCCATTAAGTTATGACTAGACTCTGACCAGTGTCCGGTCAACACTGACCGGATGCGTCCGGTCACGAAAACTGCTCTCTGGAACCTTACTGCTGTTGACCGAACGCTGGAACCCAGAGTCCGGTCACTTTGCTGCTCAGTGTCTGGTCAGTAGCCAGAACCTGACCAGCGTCCGGTCAGCACTGACCGAACGCGTCCGATCAGGATTCTCCCTCTCTGGAACCTCTCTGGAGTTGACCGGACTCTGGCACCCAGCGTCCGGTGACATTTCACTCGGCGTCCGGTCGCAACCAGACGACTTCACCTAGATCAAATGAACTGACCGGACTCTACTGCCAGCGTTCGACCACACCAGAACCAGCGTCCAGTCAATATTTGACCCTCCATTCACTTCCAACTCGAAATCATATGTGAATGAAGTTTTCTCCAATTGATCTTAGGGCTACTTAGGAGCTACCTAGTGCTAGATTTGACAAGTGTGCACCACACCTAACCCACTAGACTCACCTAGGTCAAGCTACTAGTCCATACCCCCTTTATAGTATGGCCAAAGGAAAAAACAAAATTCTAAACTACTCTAAGTGTCTCTTCAACACCAATCAACACTTAGAACTAGTCCATCCTTAACCTTATCATCCATCCTTTGAAAACCGAAACAATTTCCATCGTAGGGGTATGACAACCATGATTGCCCAATCAATTGCCATTACTATGACCTAACTTAATTGCCTCTATAAAACACACGTTAGTCATAGTAATCACGTATTGTCATTAATCACCGAAACCCAACTAGGGGCCTAGTTGCTTTCAATCCCCCCTTTTTGGTGATTGATGACAATACAACCTCGAGTATATAAAAGAGATGAGGTTTTCAACATGCTTGGTTCATATAAGCTTTTGACAATAAGAACAAAAGAGTTAGACAAGCTTATATGACCCAAGCCAACATGATGTACTCAATAGATATGAAATAAGCATGGGTACAAGTAATAAAACTCATTTGCATCAGAGTAAGAACGCGGAAGCAAACCAAATGAGCATAATGAAGTGACATGACATATATAAAGATCAAAATAGAGAGCACACATGTCACATATCACATAAATATCACTATCACACTTATATAGTTCAATGCATAAATAAGTAAATGGGAATGCATAATGTCTCACACATAAAGAACCAAAAGTAATAAAGCATAAGCTAAAACATAAGCTCCCCCTAGATATAATGCTCCTCCTATATCTATCATACTCGATCCTCTCCCCCTTTGGCGTCAAGCACCAAAACCTAAGGGTCGGTCGGCGGGGCTGGAGCAGACGAGTCGGGCGCTGAGGTGCGACGAGCGATCTAGAACTGGGTAGCATCATCCTCTGATCCAGAGCTCTGAGCTATCTAACCCTCTATCGCTGGAAGTGACGCTGAAGTGGTCTGGGTCTGCTCTAGAATTGGTGCGGCCTATGACTCAGCAGGTATGACTGTAGCAGGTGGCTCTAATGATGTAACTGATGATGAGAGCGTCTTTGTAGTCCCAGTGACTGGAGCAACGGTGGAAGGTCTAGGGACACGTAGCTCTGGCGGTGTAGGTTGCCCTGTCAACTCACTGAATGTAGCACCAAGGCTCCTGGAGACTAGGATGTCTGTCACAAGCATCGAGGAACTCTGTGCTGGTGTGAAGCCCGTAATAAGAGGTGTGAAGGAAGGACCTTAGGCTGGCACTAGTGAGGCAAACCACTGGGACACCTGCTCTATAGGTGAAGCAAACCGTGTACCTGGCTGTCCCTGACTCTGAAGCCCACTAGGCTAAAAAGCTGGAGTCATAGTAGTGGTGGCAGGCTGGCCAAGCTGAGGTGTAAGCTATGGCGGTGGAGCCCCAATAGCAGTAACGACATGCCATATGAAACCAAGTAACTGCTGCTGATTGAGGAGCTGCTGCTGCTGTATAGCCTACTGTTGTCGCTGGAACTCGTCCTGTCTGGCCTAAACCTATGCAAGTGCAGCTGAGGTCTCCTAGGCCTGGTGAGCCTGATCCTGCCTCATCCACTCAAGTATCGCAAGTAGAGCGGGGTCTGTCTGTGGTTGCTGTGGTGGAGCTGAGCTGGAGCCACTGGCTTCACTGTCATGTCGTCAAGGAGGCATCCGAGGGATATCCTGGTAGTCATCATCTGAATTGTCGCTGGGTAGCTCTTGACCATATCCTCCTGCTGAGCATCTAGCTCCTCCTCTGTAGCTGCTACGCCCCTGATGATCTCATCCTACTGGGCTGCAATCTCTAACACCTCTAGGCGTCGATGCGGCTGGCTAGGTGTCCTCGCTGCACTGTGGCGGAGCATCTGAGCCATGTTA